CGGCAGCCGTACTTGGGCTCCCGGGGGCCTCCTGAAGGGCCTTCTGGGGCTGCAGCTCAGAGGCCTCCTGGTGTAATCCTGGGGGCCTTACCTGGGCTCCTGGGGGCCTCCTGGAGTGATCCTGCCACTCAGAGCTTGCCCGGCAGCCAGAGTATGACTCTGGTTTTGGGCAGTGCGCACTGCCCCTATGTGTACCGCCCTACTTTTTTTTCTGTACATTTTTTTGACCCTGGGATTCAGGCTCAGAGCACACCTTAATATGTGGTGTAGGGTGCCGCAGATGTGTTTGCAGCACCACATACTGCATGGCTGCACTTGTCTGGACACGGCCAGAGGTTGTATTTACGTCTTCTGAAAATGCATAACTGTGGCCTGTCTTTAAAGAGTTTTAATCTTGAAATACACTTTCTTTTTGAGTCTTTGGTATCATAAGTTGTCATTTTCAAGGCAAAAACAAGCCTTGTTTCAGTTTGTGGTACTTGGTGTATTTTCAGTAGCATTTCCCATGACAATGCATTACTTTACTTGTACTTTGAACACTGGTTTACAGTAGAGCCTGCATCTTTCCTTTGTGATAGGCTGCGGAGTAAAAGTTCATCTCTAATTTAATTTAAACAAGCAAAGCCCACTTGTAAGTGTTTGGAGGCGGTGAATGGCAAAATCACTTGAGGAAGATGAAGTAACAGTATAGCAGGGATAAATTTGCTAGCTTTAAGAGGTATAATTTTATGTTAAAGTAATAGATTTTATTCAAACTTAAATGGCAGAAAAATAATCTATTTTAAAGTATATTTTTGTGGACAGTAGAAAAGATGAATAGGAACTGGATGGAAAAATATTAAGTAATATGTCCTTCAGTCTTTGGTGGCATAATGAAAGAAAACAGTGTGTTCATTAGAATAGATAGAAGTGCTGTGTACCTATGTGTAGGTCTTGGGCAGTCATTTTCTGTGTAGTCGCCATAGCCCTGATCCTGCAAATACTTATTTACATACTTAACTTTACTACTGTCAGTAATTCTCCTCAAAGTAGTAAGATAAGATATTTCCTAGTAGTAAAATTGCAAGGTAATGGCCCAAATGACCATATGTAAGTTTGCAGAACTTAATAAGGTTGGGAAAAGTTGGTAAGCAACAAAGTGCAAAGCAAGTAGGACACAGAAGGTGGCTGATGAGACAAGTTGAAATGGAAATGTGAATTGATGAAAATACAAATCAGTGTGATTTGTTTTACTCCTGCTGGTCTTGTTTAAGTTGCTGATGTGCAGTTCTTATTAGCCGATTAGAAATTAGTTTTGACACTGAACACTTGGAATCTAGCCTCAGGGGAGAGTTTATTGTGGTTATTTCCCCATGTCTATTAATACAGAACCCTAGTTTTCATAAATATATATATTTGCAAAAGAAATACAAGCTAAACCACTGTAGCCTAGCTGCCTGTTAACTATTGAACAATTATAGATACATTTTTATATGTTAGTGAAGAATGGCAGTGTAAATATGACAGTGAAAAACATTTCTTATTAGCATGTGAAAATTAATAATTTCTTAGGTAAAAGAAGAGTTTCTACATTTATATTTAATATTAATAAGAGAGAGAAAGGTCTTGTCTAAGTGAACAACATCTCTGGATGTTTAGTACGTAAGGTCCTGACCTTTCAAACATTTACATAGATTTATCTGTCCACAATGAAAAGTCCCTTTGTAGAATCAGGTCTCTAGTTCTCTCTCGCCCTCCTTTTTTTCCAATGAGAAGACTTATTTATTTGGTCTGCAAACAAGGCTTTATGGACTTGACCTTTTAGTACATGAAAAGTATCCTAATGCAATTATCTTTTGTTTTCCAAACTTTGCCCAAAGGTATTGCTTTTCAGTACTTTGTATTTATCAGTTAGCTGAACCTTTTTATACTTCTGTGACCACAGACTGTAATGAAGTCTATATTTAGTTCATAGTGGACACACGTCCTCAGAACCTTATGTGTCTGAAGGTATCACGTCCTTAAGACACAATCCTTAATTCTTTGTGAACAAAGAGAAGCACCGTTTCTAGGTGCACCTAAATGCATACTTGTCCTCTATAAAATATTGAATTTGATTTTTTTTAAAGGTGAATTTAGCAACCTGTTAATTTTACAGGTAATGCTGATTGTTCATCAGGACAGGTGTTACTTAACATGAGCAAGTGCAGGTCATTCAGCTTGTACTGATTTGCCAGTTGTTCTATGGAGCAAGAACAGTTTTGTAACGACTCTTCTCCACTGTCTTCTCATATTGTAATTTGAGATACAAAACACCCTTGACCTCCCATTGACTTCAGACAGAATTCTATTTTTCCATTGATTTTAATGGGGCTAGTTGAACTTCAGAACTTTATGGGGTGGGCTTTTGGGATAAGGTGTACTTTTTGCAAATTATTTACGGCCCTGCATTGATTAATTTTCTGCTTCTGGAGTTTTTAACAGTTTTGTAATGTTGTTTAGTGTGCCCCCGAGAGTAAATTTTTCATTGCCGTGTACTCATTGATGTTAATAGGTGTTGCTAACCCAGTTCTCCATGTCTCATGCTGACAGTGTACTCATTAGTTTTCTCTCTTCCAGCGAATAGTGGGGGAGTTTTTCTGACCTATATATCAAACTGTTTTGGACAGTTATGAAACAAGTTAATTAAAAGTGCAGAGTTGCATGCCTTGTATTCCTGGCTGACTGTCTGCCCAGAGGATTTCCCCAGAGGAAATGTCCATTCAGTTAAGATAATATTTACTGAAAATCATACTTAATAATGGGATGAAAATATTACCTATATCAGAATCTGAGTAAAGACAAACTCAGAAAAAGGTACAGTTTGTTTGAAAACATACAGACAGTAGTGTTGCTGCTTGAATCATTATGGCAGCACATACAAATGAATGAACATTTCCTGTTCTCTCTAGTGAAATATCCCTACTGTTTGTTTTAATTGCTCTTCAGAATCTAGGTTAGGGGATGTAGGAAACAAAAACTTTACCACCTGTTATTTCTCTGTTTTTACAAGGAGTAGGCCAGTAGCATTATTTCTGACCCTTGGGGCCAAACTGCATTCTCAATTAAGTCAATGGGAGTCTTACTGTTGGGTTTTTTTTATGGGTATTGGATGGTCACCTTGTGTATGTAAACACAAATTATTTGCAGAATTTCAAGGGAGTTTGTGCTGAGAGCTCCTAGGTTATAAAGTGAGATCATACAATAGAACTATTTCCTGAGTTTTCCCATTTTGCAAGCCCTGTAGAATTTGTGTGTGTACATTTTTAATTACAATGAGATGCATGTCTCAATTACGGGAGTAGGGACCAGTGTCATAACTGAATTGGTAACACTGAAGACAATGTTTTTTTGCAGACTCAGATATGGAGCTTGTTCTCTCAACATTTATGAATGTATTTTCAATGACATCTCTAATATCTAATGACGTATAGAAAGTATTGTTGCAAGTGAATTAAGATGATGTTAGATCACTTCTTACATACTGCTAGTGGCTGGAGAACTACAATTCTCTCTCCTGTCACTAATTTAAGAAAAGTTCCACTGGTAAATACCAACACAGCAAAGAATCATGCAGCAGTGCTATTGCCAGAACTTTTTTAAATGAACAAGAAGTGTTCTTTTGGAGTTTAGAAAATGCGATTAACTTTCTAACAGATTGATCTCAGAGAGAAAGAGACATGGCGGAAAACCATGTGGGGATTTTCTTGCCTGTAAATACAGGGAACTGAGTGTGATGGCCCAGGAGACTCATTCTAGTCCTATTTCCTAAAAACAGTGTAAGAGCAAGATTTTGTTTTTAGGTAAGGCTTGAAAGATGTCATACTCTGATGTCATTTCCAAATTACCCTTCCCTCTTCATGGGCAGTACTGTTATGACCAGATTGTCTTGGAGAACCTTTAAATAGAATGCATGCAACAGCTAGAAACAAAGTGAAATGTTAGTATGCTTGGGGTAGGAAATTAATTCCTCTCTCACTATGAAGCTGTTTCTGATTATATGAATGCATGTTTAAATGTGGATGTGTAACACAATCTCTGTTTCAAGTAGAAATGAACCATTTTAATTGGAACATGAAATGGGTGTCCATTAAAATAGCGTTCTCCAATTAAAAAAAACAACAACTGGATTCTCTGTGGCCTTATTTAAATAACTGAGAAATGGATTCAGCTGCCCTGGCAGATATTCTTGAGTACCTGATGAGCAATCAATTTTTGTGCTGAACACTGCTTTTAGTATTTTTTTTGTTTTTGTTTTTTGAAGTCTTGGGGCTTATAAATAAAGTACTATTGTGTTACAAATATGCTTATTGCGGGTAATTCCTAACTATCCAGCACTTTTGTCATACACTCTTATGTGTAGCACTCTTAATACTTAAATCATAAAGTGAATACCAATTATTTTTAATGTGGCTCTCTGTAGTAGTTAGACATTAATTTCATTTTATAGATTAGCAAATGGAAGTGCAACAAAAAATCATACACGGACTGGATTGTATTTTAAGTATGGTCGCAACCGAAACTCGGTTGAAGCGCGAGGATGCTGATACATGCCATTTTGAAGCACGGGGATGCTGATACATGAGCCACGGAGGCTGCTGGAGCGCACTAATTAGCATGCTCCAGCAGACTTGATTAATCGAGTCTGCTCTGATGCGCTGTATTTACAGCACGTTGGGGAAGCCTCTCTGCACATCTGCAAGCACCCCTAATGTCCTATAGTAGGTTAACTGCTTTGTTTATCCCTTGAACCTATTCAGCCCTCCTTCACTTCTGTCAGACTTGTAAAACAAAATCTAACCTTCTTAAGCATCTCGACAGAGAATTCAACACTTCACTGTCAGTCATTGGCACACCTGAGTTAATGTTCATATTAGTTATGTTACCACACCTGAGTTTGTTTTTAGGTAGAACCAAAAAACAGTCTGAAGAGCTGTGAATTGGAAGATTGAGATTAACAGGAATGACTAACAGACAGAAAAATTCCAGAAGAAAGGATATTTTGATTAATTGAACATCAAGACCGTTACAAAGGAGAGAGGGTTGTTGACAAATATGGAGTAAATTGAGATTAACAGGAATCGGATAGATTATAATGAGGCATGAAATCAATTGGCTCCATCAGCACTGTCTGAATAGAAGTACTGCTACCACTGCCAGGCATTTAGTTTTAAACTCTGGGTGGAACAGGAATCAAAGTGGGGTGCAATTGCACCACTGCACCCTCCTTGGATCTACCCCTGGTTAGGACCAATGAACTTTCAGTGCAACTTTTTAGTACAAGCTAAAATATTTTGGTAAACAAAGCTTGTCCTAAGCACAAATTAAATTTAAGAACAACTCAAAGCTTTAGAAAGAAAGAAATGACGTATCTCCCAAATTGGAACAATTGGGGAAAGTTTGATTTCCCCTCTGCCCCTCCTCTTGGGTTCTGAGGTGGACACTGAGGAGGAGGAAAGGGTCTTAAGTCAGGGAGCCTGGCTTGGGACTATTAAGTATTTTGCGTTAGAATGTGAATAGATTTCTATAAACATTCTTAATTTCTCTGCATAGAGGATTTCTATAAGTGTACTTAAGCAATACATTTTTTTAGCATTTCGACTTATTTGCCAATGACAGTCAAATAATATGTCGTATGTATGTTGTTCTTTTGTTTCCTATGCACTGAATGCTGCTTGTATTTTACCAGACATATGCCAAAGGATGAGACTCCCCAAGTCCTTAGTGAGGAGGAGATGAACAGGCTGGGAGCCAGAATTTTGAAAGCAGAACTGATGGGAAACATGGTAAGGTTTGTAAGTTTGCCCTAACGTATTGCTGTCATTGCTTTTGCCAGCACTATGAGCTACATGCTGTGGCTCATAGTGAAAAAGAGAGGCTGGAAGAACAGACAAATTGTGAGTTGTATGAAAGGCTCTTAATTAAGCCCGAGATTTAGGTGCAACCTTCTTTGTGACTTCTAAAAATGGTGATGGCCAATTAGGTAGTGTAGGAGGTTCACCCCCAAAAGCCTTTAGAAAACAGGGAACATGTATGAAGCAGCTCTTGTAGGTTTGTGTCAGAAAGTGATGCTAAACCTGCGGTTGTTGAGAATCTCAGTCTCAAGAGGCTCTTCCCCCTGGTAGGGGGAGAGCACGAAATCCTAAAATGCAGTGTAGAATGGACAATGGTTATTGAGTACTGGGGTGATAACATGGTCCCAGAGAAGTCAGGATGTCATCTGTCTTCATTTTGGCACTGGCAGGAAAGTATTGCAGTTTCCACTTTTTCCTGTTCAATAGGAAACCACTGTCCACTTGTCTTCATCTGCCATGACAAAGATGGAGGGGGAATTTGCATTGTGGTAGTGCCTAAAGGTTTCAACCAGGTCTAGTCTAAAATGTGTCAGGTTCCCATTCTACTTTGCCAATCAATCATTGTGTCTTGAGTGGATGAGATGTAGTCAGCTTTAAAAAAAAGAACTGAAAGGCATTTTAGGTACTCAGTTTCCCTGTCAATTTTGGTGCATTTTATCTTCCTGATTTTTAATGTTTTTCTCCATGCATGCTTGGAAAAACCACTCATATTTTAAAAAGCATAATAAAAAACTCTGTGAACAGGTGTGCTTGGCTGCAATAGCAGAGCCTTGGCCTTAGTGAATCAAGGAGGTCCATTGCAGCCCTGTATGCTTGAAGTGAAAACCACTGGAATTGATGGAACTGAGTAGACCCTGACTGCTGTAACATTTATAAAAGAATCAAACTGACAAAGGATCTAGATATGTTTAGGGAGTAATCATAGATGAGACTTTTAATAATAAGAATGTAGATTAATGTAACAATGTAATATACTTTTTTAAGTAACAGAAAAGAATATCCCTAGTAAAAGCATTCTGCTAAGTATGGATGATGTATGTGACATTTTCCCTTTTAAAATTTTTTAACACAATTCGATAGCAGCAGTCAAAATCATAATCTTGCTATTTGTTTCTTCATTTGATTTAATTGTTATAGTGTAAGATTGGAAATGTGGGACCCATACTCTCATTTTAAAACAGATGAAAATTAAATTAACTTTTTACACAACAAAAAAGTTGTATAATTCTTTGTCCAGATTTAAAATGTGATGTATTTCGCTCAGCTTTCCTGGTTTGCTGTGTGACAGGGAGTAAGGCACCTTACTTCTGTGGCGCAAATGGAGACATGATTCTGTGTGAGTCTTAAGTTGTGTAGGTGAAATCTATGATTTCTAGGCAGCAAGAATATATATTTTACTGTTTTAGGCCTCGTTGGATTCAAGTCTGCTTATCAACCTGTAATGTAAATTCTTATGCGTTCCACCACTGAATTTGGCCCATTGACTCTAAGGTAATATTAATTACAACATTTTACATCATGACAGACTACAAGAGAGGCTAGAACTAGAAAAGCAACTAATAGGAGCATGAGCAACTGGTGCCTCCTGATACTGGGGGGGGGGGCACAATTTGTGGGCGTCAGCATCAGCGGCGGGGTGGCGAGTGGTGACCACCCGCAGAAGTTGGTGTTGGCAGCGGGGGGGAGGGCAGGAGAGGGTGGGTTGTGAGTGGCAACTGATGATCACCTGCAGAAGCTGGCAGCCAATCTTGGGCCCGGGTGGGGAGGCAGGTGCCCCGAGGTGTTCCCCCTACGGATTGCCTATGAATACGAGGGTGCAAATAGGTCTTTCTTTCCCCATCTCTGTCCTATCCAAGGTATAAATTAGATTCTAGCACCAAATTCAAAGATGATGTGTAAGGGAGTGTAAATTTAGTAGAGGATGTAGCTGTGAGATTTACATCATTATATTTTTAGTATGTCTTGCATGCTAAGGGAGCAGAAAAACATTTAAATTATGGTAGTTTAGACTTGTCTCTGTGGCTGCTTTTCTGGCTGCAAATGGCAACTATGCATATTGCTGAAGGATTTTATGAGCATAAATTGGTTAATATTTGAACAGTGCTGTTGAAAATGTGCTATGTGTTATCTTGCTATTTTAAAAGTGTGGTGCTGTGCTTCAGATGCATGTGATTTAATAGAGATTATATTATTTCTATATACTGGTGTTGGTGATTTTTTTTTCTTAAACCAAGCAGCAGCAAGAGAAATGAACACTTGGTAATCATGGTTCTGTAAATAAAAGCTCAAAATAACTCAACTCAGTCAATATTATCCCCCCCTCCTTTTTTTTTTTTAAGGATTTAGCTTCCAAACTCCAAGCCCAGCTTGAAAATGCACGTAAACTAAAAGAAAGTAGAACACAGACTCCATCAAAATCTGACAAGGAGGTAAGGGGAAAATATTTTTCTGTTATGTGCTGTTGCAGTATATACAGTGCAGATATATAGTACCAGTAGTAATGATATTTGTCAATTTTGAGTTTAAATTTACAAAGGTTGTCTATAAAAGAACCAAGATACCTAATGAGTTCTTGAACGTCATTCGGTCTAACTATAGTAAGCTCCTGTGTGCCATTTGTCCCAGTATATACTTTGAAGCCTGTGGAGCATCTTAGACACACAAACAGCACCATGGCCAGATCCTTGTGGCATTGAAATGCATAGCATAATACTCTATTCAGTAGTCAACTTCAAACAATTAGGGCTTATGTAGTGTCCCTAATAGAGGGCTCATGTAGCATGCATAGTATTCATTGGGAGCTGTGCACTGGAGTGATTTTGCCTGTAGAGTTTCGATTCTACTTAGTCTGTATTGGTGTCAGTTGACTGTTTATACCTGAACAGGCTAGGATACTGTTTTATACCATGAATTTCTGGTGGTAATATAAACTGAAAAAATGAAGGAGGAAAGGATTACAGATTTATAATGTCTGAGCAATATTCCATTTCATAGACTCCAAAATAAGTAAACCTGTGTAAGTAGATTGTCATATAGTTCATCTTTATAAAGCTGATACAAATTGAAATCTTTGTTGAACAGTTTTTCAGTGAGGGAATTACAAAGTAGAACTAATTAATTATTTTCTAAGCTAATTAACAGTTCTTCCAGGTCCTAAGAGACACATATATGTTTTTAAAGCAAATATGATGCATAGATTATATTTTAAAGACTTTGTTTTTTTCATTAGATGACTGGGAGGAAACATATAATGAGCAAAAACTAATAAGTATTGTAATTGTGCATGCTGATGTACTAAGGAAAAACAAATGCTAAGACAAAAAACAAATACTAAATATTTCCATTTTAACAGAGTGTATTAGTAATATTTATTACTATTAGCAGAAGTGCATATTTTAAGTTACAACAATACCTTAGAATAATGAAGAACTATATTATATTTCTCCCCAAAGTACTTACTTATTTAACTGAGCCATAATTTACTTAAAATTTTACTTATCCTTAAATATTAACTTATCCTTAAATTTTTTTTTATTTCCTGCTTAATTCAGTCATTTGTTAGTACCCTAAATACTCTTTCAGCTTTGGTGGATATAGTGTTTTATCACTTTTGATAAAGATTGGTAGCATTTGAGCTCACGTTTCCAATAGAAAACTACACATTTTCTCTTTTGTTTCCAAAAACAATGAAATACAACCTAAAATTAGGATTACTTGTAGAATTAGTTTAGATATGAAAACATCATCTTGCTGTTTGGTAAAAAAGTAAGCTTTATGAAACTGTAATGCATAGTCTAATTCATAAGCAAAAGTCATTTGCAAAGTAGTTTTGGAGATTGTCAATTACACTTTAAGGTCTCATAAAAAGAAATGCTTTTATACTTCCTAACCATTATTTCTTAATTGTATAATTAGCATTTGATATGGGAATCCTTTTCATTTTGCATTCATATTCAACTACAAATTACAGATTTTAAATGGAAAATGTGTTTTTCTATGTAGATACAGAATTCCCACCGGCATTTTATATATCATTTTTCAGACGCTGCTGAGTTTTACTGTAAAGAATTATATTGCAGTGAGGAACAGAGTATGCCTGTAGTGCATTTTACTGTAGCCTCCAGGATACGTGAGGGGAAAACTTTCATATCAGAGTCTGTCTTTTATTGATAAGGGAATGCTAGTTAACACAGTTATTTTCAAGGTTTTTTTTTTTTTAATCTTGTGAGAAGGGGGCTCCATTTATTAGAACCTTCAGCTGAAAGGTTGTTGTGGTCAATATGGAATTTGTCCAGGATATTATCTCTCTCTGCTCCTGTTACTTATTAGTGGAAGAAAGAGTCAGTACATGAAACTAGCAGCTGTGTTTAGTCTTTCTAGCTGCATTGAATCCATCCATCGAATTCTCTCTTCTGGGTGTCATAGGAAACTAAAACTGAAACAGTTTTAAGCAGGCTAGGAATTTCTTTAAGAGTGCATGCATTTGGGTTCTCCAGTTATAAGATTGATAAAAATGAGTAATCTTAATTAAGCCCTGTAAAACCAAATAAAGTATTTGAACCAGTGTTGCAAAAGGTGTCATTTAAAAAGTACTCTTGAAATTAACACACTAATAATCTGATTTCAGATTCTTGATATTAACATTCTATGTTCTCTGTGGTTACCAGGGCTAGCTTCTGTTTTCTTACTTGGAACGTGTGATATAATCAGCAAGAAAAATTTAAAATTTAATTCTTCAGCAATCCTTTAGGTATCTCAACAGTAAAGCTGAAGAAAATAAGAAGTCCTGAGCTGGAAGGTTGATTTCTGGATGCTGCTTTGTGCTCCTCTGTTTTGTTTTCTATGAGTTTGCTGCTGCTATCTTGCAAAGGAGGCTTTCTTGCAAATGAGTGAAGGAAAGCCCAGTTCAACAATTCAGTTTCAGGATTCTAACACATTCCTGTTTTCCCCTTTGCCTCTAAGCAAAACAACCTTTGTTTTTGTCAGGTTTCTATTCAAAATGTAAATATTTTGTAAAGCGTGTTTTTTTTAAAATAGAAATCCTGCCTATACCAATGGATATCTAAAACTAGACTGGGGGGTTCTTTTTTTTTTTTTTTTTGATTAGACAATGTTGGTTGTGGTTTTATTTTTCTATATATTTATTTATTTGACCAATACAATCCTATGATTTATGATATACCATTTCAAGTGCAGTAACAGTTTGCAGTTAGATTTCTAGCAAATAGTCTGTACAAGGCATAGTCCCAATAATTTCTGCCTTTATTTTTCTTTGAGGGCCTAGAAAAAAAATGTTACAGTGAAACAGAAGTTATAATCTCTGTGTAGAATCTTTGTAAATATGGTTGGGTATTTTAAAGCCAGTGATTTTACCTTTTTTCACCCCTTGGCCAGTCCATGGGTGAAGGAAAACAGAAACCTTCTGAAATTCCTTTATTTACCTTAATATCTCATTTATTAAAATAATCAACTGCATGGAGGTAGAGACATATTCTCTAAGTATTCTGTATATCAAATAATTATATTTTTTTTATAATTCAGTACAGTCCAAGACCAGTCTAAACTATCTTAAAATTGTAGGAAAGAAATGGTGTATTTATAATAACTTTTGTATCAGTACTCGTGTACTAATACTCCCTATGTTACCCAACTTAATTTCACATGCCTGGCATTTATTTAATTTTTGACCAAACTGCAAGTCTGATATGTGTCCAAAATATAGAAAAGATGATAATTTATATTAGTTGAGACCTTCAGTTTGTTTTTTGGGGGGTATTTTAATCATTAAATCTATGGGATTTTACTTTTCCTTGTTTAAAGCTGGTGTCTAGAGGTGGTGATCTTACAACACCTGGTCCATTGAATTTCAATGGTTCTTAAGTAATATATACGTTCTTAAACAGGATACCAACTGTCATGAGCCCAACCAAATTTTGGGGTGTTCATGGAGTGCTGTGCAGGCTTTTGTGTGTTTTGCTGATATGGCACATGTGGTCTGATTGAAAAGCTAATGTTACGCTGTATCTATTTATGTTGCTGTTATTTCTGTGTGCATTACATTATGCTGTCTCTCTGTATCTATGATTCTGAACATAGTTTATCCAAGGGAACTGAGGGATGCATACTTGGAAGAGAGTACGTGAAACTGCTAAGTCTCGATTGCCCTAGTGTTACTAGGGCTAAGATGGTTACCACTCCCAATCGCAGACAGATGGGGCCACTGGTAGGATAGACATGCAGGGTATTGTCTAGTCATCATGGGAGAAACAACTCCACAATAGCAAAGGCATCTGAGAGAAATAGCCCATTAGCCAAAGGAATTCCAGGTGCCTTGGGGAGACAGCAAGGGTATAGATTATAGGGAGTAAGGTATAGGTCGCGGAGATGAGACATTTCTAGAGAATGCTGAGGCCCATGATAAAGTGGGACAATGTTGATGGGCTAGGGGTGGGGGAACAGGGTTGGAAGCATTTTGGAAACTACCTTTGAGATGAAGGAGGTCTTTGGATTTTCCCAGGCAGGAGGAGGGTCCAAGTCTCTAGCAGTCAGGGCTGGCAGGGTCAGCAAGAAGTTTAATCTCTGAAAATACCGGCAGGTCTCTAGAGCACTAAGTAGTAGATGACAGAGTAAGAAACTTGATTTATCTTTTTGTTCTGTCTTCAAACTAGTAGTCAGTTTTTCTTATATAATTATTTTCTTCTCTATAATAAATTATTTTGTTGTTTAGTCTCCTTACTGCAGTGATTCTCAACCAGGGTGCCATGGCACCCTGGGGTGCCTGGAGATCCTTTCATGCAATGTCAGCATTTAAAATGTGCAAATCTGATTCACATGAAAAACCCAGGGATTTCAGATAGGAACCCATAGTGTTCAAAACCTTCTGATCTGTTGTGGTCTTTCTGAGTTCTGTGCAATAGAAACATTGTTTTTTGTTTTTCTATAGTCGGAAAAACATGAAAAGGAAGAGCTGGAATTTTCTGAGGGGTACCTTGAGCCTCTCCAGGGGTGGCTCGTAGCATCTCCAGGGGTGGCTCGAGTCTAAAGAAGTTGAGAACCACTGCCTTACTGATTGATTCCCTGTGGTAGAGTGATGTCTGGGCAAGTGATGTTACAGGTTATTCTCTGGAAAGGGGGACCTAAAAATTCTTTCACAACCCAAGGGGAATCCACCTGGAGCTGGCACAAGATCCCCTGGTGCGGTGGTGGTGCTTGATAAAGGACAGTGGAGCTGAGGCTTGCAGGGATAAGGAGTTATCTGGGGGCAAACCTTGGTCTGCTCTATGGGACAGACAGTAGGACAGCAGGGAGAAACTTGGGGCTCTGGGATGGGAATATGACACCAGCTTTCTTAGTTAATTTTTATATTGTTTTTCTTAGCTAACATTTTGGTAAAAGTCATATAAAAACTCTTTTAGAATCCAGCCCTTTA